TTCCAGGTTGGGTTTTGCCCGGGTGTCATGTAACGTTTGTTCACAACTGTTCTCTATAAATGAGAACTTTGAAAAATGCTGCCTTGTAACAATTTTCTCCACAAATAAGAAAGAACAATACTATTGTAAAGAGATTTAGCTCCAATGGAGTTGGTTGGCAACACTGACTTATTAGCTGGGCGACCCATTCTCCTGCACCGGCCTTGCAACCCGTTCTGACTCAAACCCATGTCTCAACAAAATAAAACACTATCATATATCAGGAACCTCTCTTAGAGGTTCTCATGTGAATATGTGAAACTCACTACTGAATTCTTAAATGCCATCGGTCTGGGCACAGTAGTATAGAAATACTGATAGAAACCTCAACTCAGAATCCATGCAAACTTTAGTTCTAAACCAATAGCTTCAGCTCCTTCTTCCATCATCTGGCACAACAGACTGAGGGCAACATTTGGTGTTTAGATCCAGAGCATGTTACCTTACAATGCAAGGGACATCTGTTCTTCCCAAAGCTGGCACTGCAGATCAGCCAATGAAACAAGTCTGCCAACTTGTAAAAATACTAGCAAATTCTTTCCCCAGCTTTCTGGAATATCATACCACCTCCTTCAGTTAAAAAGCTTCTTGCCTCCCTTTCTAAGCCATCCACTTTAAAAAATGAATTTACTATGCCCACATCCATATCCCAAATTATCTCAGCTATCTGCAGCTTCACTGGGCTCTCCGAGGCAGAAGAGAATGTCAAGGATTCCTACTCTAAAGCGGGCTTGCCTTGCCAGGAAAACATGAGTTCCCATCACGGAAGCATCAGGTATGAAGCCTCAGACTTGGAAAAGCCTGAGCTACGTCTCCCATGTCTATGACCTGCGAACGCTGCCTTCAGCAGGATCCTAGCCTGATACAGAGCTGTGTGACAGGCAGGTACATTCCCTCTCCTGGAGAAACATTCGTCTAGCCGACACTGTTAATACTGAGAATGATTCAGATGGGAAGCCAGTTCGAACTCAGTTCCCCTGAGAGGACTAGAGGAGTGACAGGAATTGTCTGATCCCAAGGCTCTTTGTTAGCTGCCCATTCTCTGTCATATAAAACCCAAAACCAATCAGAATGAACCAACATGTTACTTGTATCTTGTCTACCTTCATGATACCTTGAACGCGTTTCCTGTTGCACACTTTGTACTCTCAACTTCTGACCTCTCACCTCACTGCTCAGATCCTGCACATCCCCTACTACTATATTCCAGCTCTTCAGATAAGAATGTACCCCTTGAGCTGTGTTTGCTTCAGCTGGGCTAAGACTCAGGAAAATTCTATAGTCATACCCTAACCTGATCTAGCCCCAGACTTTCCCCAGTCCATGATTTAAATAACCAGGATAGCAGAGAAAACAAAAACAAAAAAAAAACAAAACCCATGAACCTTGAAATCACAACTGGGATCAAATCAGCACAGCCGTTTACAAATTGTGAGATAACAGGCAAGTTATTTAACCTCGCGTCTTACTTTACAAAAAGTAAGAAACTAGGGATAATGCATATCAAGTGCCTAGTCTGGTAAACGGCAGGTGTGGAACGAAAAACTGTTATTTATCATAATTTTAGTAACAATCAGCAACAGTATTAACAATAATAACAACTACTACTGGTTTTAACAAAACACTAGTTTTTAGCAAAACTAGTTTAACCAGTTTACAAACTACATTTTCCAAGGGATGAAAACCCCCTCCTGGCAGATAAAAGCACATAAAGATCAATAAAAGGACAGGCCAGCTTTGGAAGAACGTGATTGAGGACACTAGGTATCCGTGCTAGAAACTGATGGGCAAATGAATTCACAACCTCTCTTGTCCAGAAAATAAGCTCCTCCTAGCAGGGACTAAATATCGAATGCTAGAATTAGCAGAGAGCTCAAAGAATAAAATAGATGAGTAAACGGAGAGATCAAGAACTCATTAATCGTATGTCAGAACTAGGACTAAAAGACAGGCCCTGGGGGTGACCAGTATCCTATGGATGAAGAAAGCAGGCTCAGGGATCAGGCTTTTTGGATGTGTATCCTGGCTCTACTGCTTACTGTGGACACCTGGACAAGTTAACTAACCTCTCTAGTTCTCAGTTTATCTAAGAAAGAGGGCTTTAACAGAATCTTCCTCACCAGGTTACTGTAAAGGTTAAATGGGCTTATGTGTATAACACACTTAGTACAGCACCAAGGGAGGCATACAGTTAACTGTGCAGGATGTGACACTGCAGTGGAAGCCACCACCCAGCCCATGAGAAGAAAAGAGGCATTTTTCAAAAGGCATCCTGTACTCAAGATATCAGATCTGTAAATTCCAAAAATAAAATTTCTGAGCCTTCACTAGAGAGCTTTACCTGGTCTCAGAATCAAAAGATTAGCGATGACCAAAGGCCATACCTCCGTCAGCCTCTTGAGGGCTTAGGCCATCAGCATCACTGAAGAGCCCTCAGGATTAACTACATGAATCTTTACTGAGCACGCACTATGAATCGAGCCCCATACAAACCCTAGGGATATAATCTTGAACGAAACCAAACATGAATAGAGCTCTTTACCTAAAAAGTAGAAACCATGTAAAATAGTACTAGTACATTTTCTTTCACAAGGCATGAAGGCCCATCCTACCACTGACACACTCCTTGGGTTTGACAGGGGGTTTTGCAACCCTTTACCTTTCTGAACTGTGTTTGGTCCTCTTGGCATTTGAATGGAATGGTAATCCAGTGCCTGACAGAGTCTGTGAGGGCCCCACGTGACACTCACCTACTCTGTGTGGAAGAGGGTTTGGACTTGACTCAGGGCATTTAAGGTTACCTGTAAACAGCTCAGAAAAAGTCAACAAGTAGAAGCTTATAGGGAAACACAGACATGACCCCTGGAGCCGTATGGTCTGAGACATACAACCCAGAAGGAAATGTTTGTGGAAAAGGAAACCTTAGCTAAAATATGTCAAGGACAGGTTAAATCAATAATAGAGTTTGCTGGAAAGACACTTGTCTGTTCTCTGTCTTCTAAAACTGCAGGAGCTGGAAAGGTTCACTTGCATCTTCCACAAACATTTGCGTATTATCGGTGCTGCCAAAGCGACTCAGAGAATCTAGGGCAAGGGGAAAAGCCAACAGTCCTTTTTCAGAGGACCTTCAACTCATCTCCACCCACCCACCTCTCTTCCAGTTCTTTTATCTACATATAACACATGTTGACTTAATCATGAGCTTCTGATGAAAGGGGCAGGAAGCAGATCCCGGGAAAGGTACAAGAGGAGACGGGAATTTGGGAGAGACTGGTGGGGGCAGCTTAGGGGCACTGAAATTTGGCAAAGCAACCCTTAGTTCCTTTCTAGCAATGCCTTCCTCTTATAATTGCTACCTCTCATAAAACTATCACTTTTTGAATGTCAGGCAGCTTTTATTACAGTATCTCCTATTCTCATAATAACTATGTGAAATACGTGTTAATCCCTCTTTATGAATAAGGAAACCAAAGTTCAGAGAAAAGTAATCTAAGGTCTCAAAGCTAGTAGGTGGTAGACCTGAGATTCAAATCCAGGTGTGTCAACTCCCAGCCATAAAACCACACGGGCTCAAAAAGTGTGTTACTGTTCCCATAACTGAAGAGGCTACTATTAGCTCTAGGCAGTCTGGCTGAGGATGGTGGTAAAGGCTCCTAGGAATGATTTTTTAAATCGAATTGCTTGTTATGCCAAAAAGAAAAAAAAAAAAAAACAACAACAGAGGGAGGGTCAGAGGCAGCACGTCAGTGTGCAGGGACAGTGATCTACTTAAAGGGCTTCGTAAACCTAACTACCAAATTCTCCAGACATAGGTGTGTGGGCTGTAAGTGTTGGAAAAGCCTTTCTAATGAAACTCCTATAACAGTACCTTGGAGTCAAACTGGGCTCACAGCCCCACTTTGCCCCTTGCTGTGTAGCCTCAAGTAAAGCATTTAGCCTATTCGTTTTCTCATCTGCAAAATACGGAATAACATCTACACTGTTGGCAGGATCACTGGCAGGATTAACAGAGTCAATGAGCATAATAAGCAATAAATGATTGTTATTCTTATTTTTAATAGACTGAGGCTGATCAGAAGTATCTGTCCAAGGTCACCTGGTAAATTAGCTGCAGTTGGAGGGATTTTGGACTTCAAGCCTCTAATTCCCAGGGTGAATCCATCACCGTGACATAGTTTCCCTAAAGTGGTGTGTATGGATAGCCCAGCTAGGTCTCTTGCCTTCCGATGCGGTCCTACTATGTTTTGAACCGCCTTCAGCAATGCTGTGGCTAGTCCTGGAGCAGACAGGGCAAATGCTGTTCTGTCGCAGGGGAGAGAGGCCCAAGCGGTCCTTTGGAAGCAGGGGTTATCTTCCAGAGTAGGACTGCCTTCAGTTTTAGTCCCTGCTGAAAGCCAGGGCCTCTACACCTCACCCTTCAGTCTCCTGCACTTCATCCTAACCTCAGGCTCCTCCCCGTATCTGCTCACTGGTCCTGGTCTAAGAGCAAATCAAGAACAAAGTCCAGGGTTACTCCCTGCGTAATGAGAGAGTTCTGTCCCCTTTAGAGTTCAGCTTGATACTCAGCGATACTCGCTGGGCAATCCTTTCGTCAGAAGGGAATCGGCTGGGACAGTAAGACGGAGCAGACCCCAGCAAGAAGAAACGCAAAGAAACAGGGAATATCCAGGATTACGGAGAATCTGAATATGAGCCTAGCTCTGCATCCCTAAGCAAGGCAACCCTAACCACGTCACTTCCTAAGCCTCAGCTTCCTTACGTGTAAAACTAGACACAGTAGGGCCTGCTTAGGAGTGCTGTGATGGAAACGCGAGTCACGAAGGAGATATAAACATCAAAACTACTAAAACCTGAGTGCTCGCCGGGCGCCAGACACCAACCGCTCTGATTTACTTCGCCTGGGTCTTCACGATCATCTACGGCGCAGTCCCGCTCTTAACTCCATTTGACAGGTGAAGAGCCAGGGAACAGGGAGGCTAAGTAACTCATTCAAGATCGCACAGCCGCGAAGGGATAGAGGCAGGATCTGAATCCAGGATATCTGACTCCTCGGGAGGGTTCTGCAGCTCTGGCACTGTTGACAGCCTGGACCAGGTAATTCTTTGTTGTGGGGAGGGAGAGGGAAAGGGGGGGGTGTCCAATGCACCTTAGAATGTTTAGCAGTATTCTTGGTTTCCGCCTACGAGAGGCTGGTAGTCCCCTGTACTCCAACTGTGACAACGGGAAGAGGTCTCCTGACATTGCCAAGTGTCCCCTGGGGGGGACTCCTCCTAGAACTTGGAGCCAGGCTAAGTACTCAGCGTTCCCCTTCTCTGTGTCCTCCCCAGACCCCTCACTCACAGGGCCACAGCCTCCGGAATGTCAGGCTGTGATGGGCCCTACCTCGGATCGATTCAGTCACCTTACATAAGTGATCAAGAAAACAAGGCCTGCGATCTAGTTCCACCCATCCCTTGGAGGTCGCCTGTGGTCTGCTCTCACGGCTTGGAGGCACAGGCCAAGGGGTGCTGGGGCACATGACCTTGGGTGGTTTGCTGCTCCACGGCCTCCTCCACCTCCCGGACCTGACCGGACCCGCCGCCTGCTCCTCCCGGGCCTGCAGCATGCCCGGAGCTCTGCTAAACTTCATGCACTCCAACCCGGCGCATGCACCACCCCTAGGTCCTTGGGACGCCAGTGTTGCCTGTGCTTCCCGCGCAGACTCCTGGGGAAACTCGCTCTGCAGCCAGAGGTGCCCAGAGCCTCTCAGTCTGCAGCCCAGGGAGCGCCCTCCACCCTGGCCCTCGACCCTCCCGTAGAGGATCCGGCCTTCGGGGCTGGGTGCTGAGCCCTGTCCGACTCCGGGCTCCGGTGCCCCGAATCCCCCGGCGCAGACCCCGTAGGACGTGCCCGCCGCTCCGCAGCCTCCAGCCCCGCCTCTGCCCTCCCGCGACCGCAGCCAGGTCCCTCCAGGCTAACAGGGCGCTGCCTCCCCGGGCGCCCCGAGAACCCAGCCCTGATGTCCCCCGATCCCACCTGGAGACGCCCCCCCCCCGCCCCCCGCCCCCGGGGCAATCACAGAGCCCCAGGCCCCGCCCTCTGCGACCTCAGGTCGGGCCCCGGATTCCCTCGGGCCTCCTGGGGTGCAGCACCCCGGATCGCAGACCCCTCCTGTTTCCGAGGCTCTGCACCCCGATGTCCCCGGGGCCCTCCCAGCTCCCGTCCCGGCTCCCAGCTCCAGCCGCTGCACCGCCCTGTGCTCGGGGCCCACGTTACCTGGGGCCGCCCAGATGCTGCACCGCGGGGTCCGGGGCCGCATCCCCTCCGAGCTCCTCTGCCCCCGCGGCCCCACCCCCACCCCCCCACCCCCAGCCGGTCCTGCCCCTCCGATCCGGCCCCCAGACCCGGCGGGTCGGGCGTGTCCCGCCGCCGCACGCCAGCCCCCCCCCCCCGCCCCACCTCCGGCCGCGACCTCCCTCCCGCCCTCCCGCCCGCCCCTTACCTGATCGCCCGCGGCCCCGACGCGTCCACCGCCGCCAGCCCACCCGCCCGCCCGCCGCTCACTGCGCACGCGCCGCCGGGCGCCCCTTGGCGGCCGCTAATTCGCAGAGCCGCCTGTCCGTCAGCGCGCCCCCGCCCCGGGGCATGCTGGGACTTGTAGTCGCACGGGTCCGAGCCTCCGCGGCCCAGCGGCTGCCGCCCGGGTGGGGGGAACCTTGGGCCGCGGCTCGCAGCTCTGTGCCCCCATTGTGCGGACTGCGAAACTGAGGCGAGAGCAGCCTGCCCGGGCCCCCTCAGCGTGTGTGAAGCGCTGCGCTGGCCGCGGAGGTCCCAGTCCAGGAGGCGGCCTCCGCAGGGCCTCGGCCGCGGGCAGCACCCGGGGAGCGCAGGGGGGCCCGTGTGACCAGTGGCGGCAGGTGCGGGGGGGGGGGGCGGACAGAGCCCCCGGGGGGCGGCCGCAGAGCCTGGACTCGCCTCGAAAGGCCGTCTTCGGTTCCTGGGATGCACCGCAGCCTCCGTGCAAGGTGGTGGGATGGCCGCAGCGCTGGGTCAGCGCCGGGAGGCTACAGCGGAGGGGAAGACACGACGCGCTTTGCACCTGCTGCCCCTGCACACCGAAGCTCCCCAGACCCAAACCCAATCTGCTCCCGGCTTGGGGGGCGGGGGGGGGGCGGTGCACAGTGTGACCCGGTGGGAGGCCTGAGGCCTAGGGCCGCTGAGCACCTGTGCGCCCTTCCGTAGTGCCAGGCTGAGCACCTGCTCCTGCAGGTGACCGCGCGGTGCGGTAGCCTGGCCCGGAGCTGGAACTCCCACTTAGATCCGGGACACTGCACAAGGATAACACAACAAGCAGAAATAAGAGCCAAACTATCAGCACTCAGTGTGCAGCCGAGGCTAAGCACTTCCCATGCACAGTCCCTTAATTCCCATAACCTCCCTGTTTAGATACGCAGCACACGCTCAGGTGGTTCCGCAGCAAGGCCTGGAGGCTAAAGAGCAGCCTGGGACCCTAAGATTAGATGAGAATCCACCCTGATTATCTTGTTTCACCTCTCGGTGGCCCATTTCCTTATTTCTAAATGGAGATGATAAGGTTTGCTATGATGATTAGCTAAGATTATGAATACATAGTGGTTTGCACTTAACAGTATTTTTTTTTTAATTGTGATTCTTAACACTTTTCAGATTGCTGATTCCAGAAGCCCCCCAGCACCCAGCATTTCAGATATTAAGGACAATGAGGGTCTGGATTGATATACTTATGACATACTTTGAACAGGCCTGGGGGCTCCAGATGCTTGAAAGAACTCTGGGGGCTATTTACTTATTTTTTTAATATTTAAAAAGATTTTTTTTACTCATTCATGAGAGACACACAGAAAGAGGCAGAGACGCAGGCAGAGGGAGAAGCAGGCGCCCTGCAGGGAGCTCGATGTGGGCCTGGATCCCAGGATCCTGGGGTAACACTCTGAGCCAAAGGCAGGTGCTCCACCACGGAGCCACCCTGGCGTCCCTCTGGGGGCTATTTAGACCTCAAGGATATATTTGCAGTCCATGACCAGCCAGGATTTGACTAGATCAACCAGGAATAAGTTGAGTCAGGAGTGGGCTAAACAGGGAGCCCAGCTGGGCTGGGGACTGAAGGGCCCTGGGGCAGATTTTGCTCAAAATTGGCAGCCAGCCAGTGGGTGCAAACAGAACCCTGTAGGGCCAAGGGAGGAGGAATGCTTGCCTCTGTTAGCACAGTGCCCAGCACAGAAGAGTTGCTGAGTAAGTGAGTCAGACTCAGAAATGTGACTTGAAGGAAATTGCATTTCCTGTCTGATTTCCGCTTATTCTAGCTACAAGATAACTCAAAGGGGTCAATTAAGTAACAGGGGACCATTTTTTTGAACACCAGCAATATACCATGCACTTCATAGTGTCACATGTCAAAAATTAATCCCCTCAGCAATGATTCAAATAGATATTGGTAGCCTCATCTTACAAAGAGGAATCAGACTCAGCAGGACAAGAGAGCTCGGCTACCTCCTTAGCCTCCCAGGAAGTGGGAGGGCCGAGGTACCTGGACCACGTAGGCCCACGGACGTGCTCCGAACCACCATCTGAAGACTACTCACATTTTATGACACCAGTTATCTATTTTATTGAGTAGGGTTTGTTTATAAGGACCCAAAGAGGAGGAGAGATGACGATGTTTAGCAACTGAAGGAATATGGGGCAAATCCCGGCCGCTAGGACCATGGAGCATGAGCCTGTCAAGGTAGTGACACGCAATGAGCTCTTCTGAGCAGCACTGCCAGAGAACAGCAGGAATCGCCTTCTGCCCTGAATTTCTTTCATGTTGGAGACCCAGAGTGGCCGGTTTCACCAGACTGGCAAGAAACCTTTCTGGACAGGGACCCTGGGTACTTCTAGCAAGTCCCTGTCTTGCAGGTTGGGAAGATGGGAGGGTTATTGTCAAATAGCTTCTTCCCGAGCTTAAGATCCTACTTACACCCTCTCCTCAGACCGGATGGGGAGATACCACTCTGTGTGCTGAAAACCACAGTTCCCACCCCCCAGAACCCAGCATCTCAATTCAGTACTCATCGTATTTTTATACCCGTGTTTCCCTACTCCCAGAGAGGAGCCTGGTGATGTGCCTCTCACGGTCTGAGGATGTCGAACAAGCATGCCTTTAAAGAACAATGAATAATAGTGAAGGGGAATATAAGGGAAGGGAGAAGAAATGTGTGGGAGATATCAGAAAGGGACACAGAACATAAAGACTTCTAACTCTGGGAAATGAACTAGGGGTGGTGGAAGGGGAGGAGGGCGGGGGGTGGGGGTGAATGGGTGACGGGCACAGAGGGGGACACTTGACGGGATGAGCACTGGGTGTTATTCTGTATGTTGGTAAATTGAACACCAATAAAAATTAATTTATAAAAAAAAATAAAATAAAATTCTAGTGGCCTGACACATTAAAAAAAAAAATAAAGAACAATGACGAAAGACCCTTTCTTCTCTTTAAAAAAAAAAAAAGTTTGTTTGACTGTCTTTTTTTTTTTTTTAGTGTTTAAATTACTTACCAGTTAAATTAATTACTACTCTTCCCACAAAAATCACAGAGTAAAATAAATACCCCGGGAAAAGGCACTCATTTTAATTCCGTGGCTTTGCCTACTCTGGCACAATATTAGCATTCCTCATACATAGACATTTTTAAAAATACTCTTTGTGGAGTACTTTAAATACTCTTTATTCAGCATTTTAACATAACCTCCCCCCCCCCACTTAACGTTAAGCTCTACCTGGATCGGTTTCCTAGGACTGTCATAACAAAGTATCACGAAGTGGGTGGCTTAACACAGGAGAAATTTATTTCTTTCGCAGTTCTGGAGGCGAGATGTCTGAGATCAAGGTATCAGTGTGACCAGGTTTTCTCTGAAGTGTCTAAGGGAGGAGGATCCTTCCTTTCCTTTTCCAGCTCCTGCTGGCTACAGGCATCCCTTGGCTTGTGGTAGCAACTCCAGTGTCTGCCTCTATCTCCTCGTGGTCAGTTTCTGTCTCTGTGTCTCCACCGTCACACGCCATTCTCCTCAATGGATGTGTCAGTGTTTTCTTTTAAG